GGCTCGTTCCTGGGGGTGCGCCTTCCATTATTTTGTCAGAGAATATGTTATCATTGCCCTATTATGTCACTCATGTCCCCCGGGGAACTATAGATGGATGGTGAAATCAGGTAAATTATAACCAAAATTGAAGTTTTTTTGGAAGTTCAACAAGTTAAGGATAAAATTATACATATGGATAAATTTAAGTTAATAACTTAAATTAAAATGTTTTGTGAAGTTTGAATAAATTAGATAAAATATTATGGATAAATTGAATAAATGTGAAGTGATCAGTTGGTTATTTAAATAAATTGGATAAAATGTTATAGATAAATTGAATAAATGTGAAGTGATAAGTTGGTTGTGACATTGAAATTGTATGGAATAAACATCGATATGTTTTTACGAATAAATGTGAAGTGATAAGTACTCAGGACTAAAATGAGCATCGACATGTTTTTACGAATAAATATGAAGTGATAAGTTGGTTTTAATGGAATGAGCATCGACATTTTTTACGTATGGATAAATTTAATTTCAATTTAAGCACTGTTAACTACAATTGGAATATAACTTTTAATTTTGAATACAATTGTAATATTAAGTTGAATTTAATGTTAAATTTCAAATATTATAATTTGTATTTTAAAATCATTTAACAAACATTTAATGTTAAATTTGAATAAAAAATAACATTAAAAATATTATTGTAACAACCATGAAACATTTAAATAACATAACCAAATTACATAAATTTATGAAATATAACTATTTAAATAACATTAAAATACAACTGGATCACCGATGTCAGTGATTCAGATGGAGATTGAGGTGTATGCGGAGAAGAACCACCAGCCAAATAAGATGCATATGAACCATATGTTGGATCATTAAACATAGTAGTATATGCACCTCCATATGGTGTCATAACACTCTGCGGGCTAGGCATGTAACCTGGCGGGCTAGGAATGTAACCATGAGGGCTAGGAATGTAACCCTGCGAAGATGGCATATAAACTGGTGGGCTTGGCATATACCCCTGAGGAGATGTCATCTGAATTGGAGGGCTGTGTATCATCATCGGTGGATAGGGATGTTGTGGTGGGTCTGATGCAGAACTGGTAGCGCCTTCTCTCCGTCTACGAGTCGGGAGATGATGATATTGAGACGGTTGACGTCTTTCTCGGCGCCTAGGAATGTTAACCTCTCGTGCTTCAGCCGAAAGTAAAAACGACTTTCATTTTCATTAAACCAGTCCATATAGTTATCCGTAACCATATGACCAGTTTCAGCGTAAAATTGTCGAGGGGCCATCTGTGCATATCGGTTCTTCCAAAGCGCAATCCAATCTCTGTGTCTCACCACCCAATTAATCTCTTTCTTTCCTCTTCTATCTATGTTATGCATGTCGTCTAAATTCCTAGGTGCGCCAGGAATATATTGCGTACAACCAAACTGAAGGAGCACACGATCAAAAAGAGCACGCGATCAACTGTATGCCACTCAATAATAGCATAACATATAAGAGGTATAACCAACATCCAAACCTCTAATGACCCACGCAGGTGGGGTGTGATGCAAGCCTTTACTTCATCGCTCGCATAAGGTATCCACTGAAACTGAAATATAAATATACAATTCAAATCAATATAATATTCTAATTATATCTAACATTTTAAATTAAAATATTCATATTTAAACAGATTTAAAAACATACATCAGACCCATTTTGTATCAATAAGTAAACGCATTTCCTCTAACCAGTAGGTATACTTCTATGGTTCTTTCTTTTCATCAACCACCTATGAAATATAATATAAACTAAATATCATCCTATTTAATTAAAAATATTTAAATCAAAATTTAGTTAAAAAATTACCTCAATAATAAGGGGAATACGTATGGTTCATTGACGATAGGGCATAAAAAATACATGCGGAACCACGTCCATGATTGCAGAAGCAGGAGACATCCACCGATAGCAGTTTTCTTATAATTCATCTCACGACACATTTCTCTAAAGAGAAATGTCAAAACTGCATCGCCCCAACTATATCTTTCAGCTTCATCAAAATCAATCAGATGCCGCAACCACATACAATGCACCTGATTGCGAGATTTGTCGGGCATCAATATTCCTCCAATTATTTGTAGAATATAAACCCGAGCACATGCCTTTGCTTAATCCTCTGAAGCATTTTCATTCAAAACTTCAAAATTAGCTTTCAACCAAAATAAAGCTATTTTACCTCCATTAAACTCTGACGGAGCAGCTCCAAGATACTCCATGCACATTGACTGCCAATCACTATCCGCCATACCACACATAATGTTTCCGTCGACGGGAAGCCCCAGATGCATAAAGACATCCTCCAACGTAATTGTAGCCTCTCCACATGGACGATAAAAAGTGTGTGTCTCAGGCCTCAAACTCTCAATCAATGCAGAAATCAGGACAGATTCGAGTTTGCAACCGCCAATAATTGTTGCAATATACCCGAACCCGGTAGAAGCCAAATATGGCAAAATATGTTCCGGTGTCGGTATACGTGGGTTTTTAATAAATGTCTCTAAAATACGATCAATTTCCTCAATAATATACATTATAAAAATTTATAATTAATATAAATTCATAATAAATTTAAATTTAAATTAAAAATAATAATAAATATTAACATTAATTATAAAAAAATATTACCATATTACTAAAATGTCTGGAGATATGGTTTGCATCCAATCGCAGCAACATTTCACTTTCTATTATAATTGTAGACAAAAAAATATAATTAACATAAAAAATAATTAATTAATAAATTTAAATAAATAATAATTATATAAATATTATTTTAATAAAAAATAATATTTATATAATTATATTAATAAAAAATATAAAAACTATTTAAAAAATACTAACTTCAAAATAAATTTCTTACCACTAATAAGAAATTTAAAACTTAAATAGTTGGAAAATTTGAGTTATATAAGAGAGGAGTAGATGATTTTGGTGTGAAGAATGAGGGGGGTTGAGGGGGTTTATATATGAGAGGAGGAGGGGTAGTTGGGGGAAACAACGGATGGACATTTAAGGTATTTAATGAAAAACGTGTCTATGGGGATGCGCATTTCACACGTGACAGTCGAGTCAACATAATTCGGGTAAAGCGCGTCCCTGCGGATTTGTGGCACCTCAACCGAAAGGGTATCACATTGAGAAATATCGGTCAAACGATGCTAGAAAATGAGATATTCAACGAAAAAGTGTCAGTTTAATCAAATCGCCGAGATAATCACGAGTTACATGCAACATTTGTAACCAAATGTAAATGCCAACTAAACAGGTAGTAGCTGCTCACTTCACTTTATTATTTTACCTAAATCAGCAACATCTATTTATTACACCAAATAAATGCCATATTTTTTGTTCGTATTATATCACCTGACCCTTTTTAAAAATAGTAATTATTTCCATTAATAATTCTTTTCATAAATAAGTAGTGGAATTTTGCTACAATCTCCACCATAGACCATCTTCTCTCTTGTCTCTAATCTCGATACCATGAAAGATCAATCCTCCTTTACAACACCATCCATGGATCCCTACAAGTTACTCAGAATCATCCAAAACCTGGACGGTTCACTCACTCGACAAACTCATTTCCCTTCAGTTCCAGCAACAGAAGAAACCAGCACCGAGTCCAACACATCTCAACTCGCTCTCTTTAAAGATGTCACTCTAAACTCCGAAAACAAAACCTTCATTCGTCTCTACAGGCCGCCAACTCTTCCGCCGAACACCAATAATAAGCTCCCTCTCTTGATACACTTCCATGGCGGCGGCTTTATCCTCTTCAGTGCTACTTCTCTTCCGTTTCACGATGCATGCATGTTGTGTCAAGGCGGGTATGATCCCAGCCGTGATCATCTCGCTCGAATATCGTCTTGCGCCGGAACACCGCCTTCCGGCTGCGTACGACGATGCGGTGGAAACGATCATGTGGGTCCGGGACCAGGCGGCGGATATCGGCAGTTGTGATCCGTGGTTAAAAGAGTGCGTGGATCTTTCCAAGTGTTTTTTATTCGGTTCCAGTGCGGGTGGCAACATGGTTTTCCATTCGGCTTTACGTGCATTGGACGTCGATATCTCGCCGATAAAAATCATAGGGCTGACAATGAATCAGCCGTACTTCAGTGGAGTGGAAAGAACTGAATCGGAGAAGAGATTCTTCAATGACCGGATCTTGCCTCTACCGGCTAATGATCTTATGTGGTCCTTGGCTTTGCCGGACGGAGCTGACCGTGATCATGAGTTCTGCAATCCGATGGCGGCTGCTGAGTCGCTTAAGGAGAAGATGGGAAGACTGCCACGGTGCTTGGTGTCTGGCCACGGCGGGGATCCACTGATCGACAAGCAGAGAGAGTTGGTGAAAATGGTGGAGGCGCGTGGGGTAGATGTGGTGGCGGAGTTCGCCGAAGGAGGATGCCATGGGATAGAGATTTTTGATCCGTTGAAGGCGAAAGCTCTTCTCCAGAGCATCAAAGCATTTGTCAACACTACTTGTCTGTGTGTTAATGTGTCTAAAATATTTTACATAAATTTATGTTGATTTTTTATTGTTCACTTGTCGTTACCTATAATTAGTGTTCATAAATGATATATTATAGTCAGAGAACTATTTGTGTAGTTTACCCAAAAATAAAATCAATATACATATCTAGAATAAGAAATAATATACTTTAATCATTTAAATAAAAAATAGAATATATTCAATAAGCCTCTTTTATTTATGCAAATAATAGCCGGTCTGATAATCTTCCACAATGTTTCAGGTTCTATCAAATAAACCAGCAGTAATTGCTTGCCACGAGGGTAACAGTTGAACAGCCTTCCAGTCTACGTGTTTTCTTGCAGATAATAATGGGAATCTGTCAATGTTTCGTTTCATGATCGATACGCGCTTTGTCAACGCCAAATGAGGTAATTTATTACCCAAAAACACTACTTTCAACACCTTTTCCCCCGAATACTCTTTCCTGGATCATTCATCTTCTTCAGTGATTAAGAAAAAAAAGCATCCCAATAGGTAAGCTTCTTTTTCAATCGGAATCTGAGTTAAATCACTTCTTTTTTGAGATTTTTTCTTTTCGTTTATCTTCTTTGTTCAATTGGATCCTTGGGTGTTTGCTCTTTTCAATTCTATTTGTAGTATTACTGTTGAAGTCTCCATTGAAAGTTTGAAACTGAGAAACACAGCTGAGCTTGTGTTTTTTGTTGTGCAGATTTTGTTATATGCATAAAGATCAAAGTTCTGTTATTTTTTCTGCAATTCACTTGATCCTGTTTCCATCATAAAAGAAGAGTAATTTGATATTAAGAGTAATTTGGTCAGAAATGGATAACAATCCACACCAAAACCCACACCCTTATCACCATGGAGACCCTCCTCCAAATCAAGATCCATATGCGCGTCCTCCATATCCATATCCTTTCAATCCCCAATACCCTCATGCGCCTCGTCTATATCCTCCCCCAGGCCACGCTCCTGGTTCAGCTCCCATGGATTATGGGCATTCTCATCCTGGACTAATTCCTTATCAATATGCACACCCGATTCCTCTAAGTCCTTCCCAACCTACTCTCCAACATCCTACTGGTTACCACTATGGTTCATCTCCTTACCCATACCACCAATCCCTATCTGGTCATTACCCACCACCTGAAAGTAATCTGCAATCTTACTACTCTTATCAACAACCTTCACAATATCCTCCTCCTGAAAGTAATTCTGAGCTCCACTCCAGACAGAATAGCTTCTCTGGACATTACAGGCAGGATAGCATGAATTCCTTAGGAGCAAGTACAGGTAGTGCCGTACCTGTTGCTTATCCTTCTTTGGACCATCAATTGAGTAATATGCATTTGTCTGGATCCAACTCTTATCAACAACCTGCTCAATATCCTCCTAATTCTGAGCTCCACTCCATACAAAATAGCTTCTCTGGACATAACAGGCAGGATGGTTTGAGTTCCGTGGGAGCAAGTACAGGTAGTGCCCTACCTGTTGCTTATCCACGTTTGGACCATCAATTGAGTAATATGCATTTGTCTGGTGCGCATCAGTCAGCTCCTGCATCACCACCGGCACCTTCAGTGCTTCCAGTGACTACTGCTACTTCAACACCTGAGCTAGATAGTCTAGTTTATGCAAGTAATGCTAGTAATTGGGAGGGGCCTAATTTAGGCCGAGCTGATTCAGCTAATCAACCTGCATTTCCCCGTAAGGATTCACAAAATGGCCAGAGTATGCAGATTGTACCTTTCCATAAAGGGTCATTGAGAGTTTTGCTTCTACATGGAAATTTAGATATCTGGGTTTTCGAGGCTAAAAATCTTCCCAACATGGATATGTTCCATAAGACTTTAGGAGATATTTTTGGGAATCTTTCTGCAAATATCTCCAAAAAAGTTGGAGGAAAAGGTGAAGTGAAGATTACAAGTGATCCTTATGTCACAATCGCAATTACCGGTGCCGTTATAGGAAGGACATATGTGATCAGCAATAGTGAAAACCCTGTCTGGATGCAACATTTCTGTGTTCCCGTTGCACATCAGGCTGCCGAAGTGCAATTTATTGTTAAAGACAGTGATGTATTGGGGTCAGAGATCATCGGAGTCGTAGCAATTCCAGTTGAGCAGATATACTCGGGGCAAAAGATTGAGGGAAGCTACCCGATTCTGAATGATAAGGGAAAGCCCTGTAAGCCTGGAGCTGTCTTAAGATTATCAATTCAGTACACACCAATGGAGAATTTGAGCATCTATCGTCATGGAGTTGGAGCAGGTCCTGATTATGTGGGAGTTCCTGGCACATATTTTCCTCTTCGGAAGGGTGTAAAAGTGACACTTTATCAAGATGCCAACATCCCTGATGGGATTCTTCCAACCATAAAACTTGACCATGGGATGACTTATGTGCATGGAAAGTGCTGGAGTGACATATTCGATGCCATCCGTCAAGCTAGGCGCTTGATTTACATTGCAGGGTGGTCAGTTTGGCATAAAGTTAGGCTGGTACGTGATGCTAGTCCTGCTTCGGATTGCACTTTGGGGGATCTTCTTAGGTCAAAGTCCCAGGAGGGAGTTAGAGTGCTACTTATGCTATGGGATGATCCTACGTCGAGAAGCATCTTAGGATACAAAACGGTAACTTTCTATTACGTTGTTTCTTGCACATTATGGCTGCAGTGTTTAAACTTAATGATAATAGATAATAGAAGTATTTGGTGATCGTTGTGCATAGTTGGTTAATGGAGAAAATGTGATGTGCATATGAATGACCAATGAGAGTCTGCGAACTTTATGAAGATAGAAATTAGTCACCTTTTAACCTTGAGAAAGCTTTGCTCATCAGGGATTTTAATTAACCTCTTTTAATTGGCAAATACAGGATGGAATAATGGCAACCCATGATGAGGAAACACATAGGTTTTTCAAACATTCTTCAGTGCATGTGTTACTTTGTCCTCGTATGGCTGGAAAAAGACATAGTTGGGTCAACCAGAAGGTTAGCTCTAAACGGCCATTTGTTTCAACGATTATATCCCATAAATGCATTCCTAACTTTACACGTCGATTTGGATTCAGTTTGGCATCATTAGATGTTACTGCTAGTGTGTGTTTGTTGAGAAATCATTATCAGCCTTACTAAGATTTTGTATTCACAGTTTGCACTATTATTGTAACTTGTGGTGGCTGCATTTGGCAATTTACTACCGACCACATGCTGACAGGATGTTTGGCAATAGGAAAAAAATGTTTTTGACTTAGTCTTAGATATTTCATACTTCTCAAGAAAAACTAGCTTTTGGACAGCCTGAAGTAGTATTTTCAACTTTTTACACATTTACATTCAAACTTCAAAAGAGTAGGGCTGAATGAGGGAAAAACCATTGGTCTTTCATACTCTTTTCTGGATATTTATTAAAATACTTCATAGACCAAATGCTGATTACCTTTTTGTATCTATACCAATATACCTTGATGGTGATTAATCTTCCGAAAATAATCAGAGCCCTTCTGCAGTTCTGCTTCATGCTACTGTTTTTTCCTTTGAATAGGGACTATGTTTTGTTTTCTAAATTTGATGGTAAACGCCCTTCTCCCTCATACTTTTTCTGAGTTTTTGTTTGTTTGTTTCCCTCTTTTAATGGATTCTCAATTTCTCTCAGGCCTGTCAAATATGAAATACTTTATTAGTTTTATTTCTGCTGAAAGTCTTGTTATCAGTTTTCTTATTGGCAGGATTAACAAAAATGAAGTCATCCCTAAATTTTCACCAGCCTTTTTGTTATATGTTATCCCATTTCTTGTCTAAAGCACTATGCTTTTCTGATGCGTACAATTATCAGGAAGTTGGAACAATTTATACACACCATCAAAAAACTGTAATTGTGGATGCTGATGCTGGGAAAAATAGTAGAAAAATTATTGCTTTTGTTGGTGGCCTTGACTTATGTGACGGACGATATGATGATCCACGTCATCCTCTATTTAGGATGCTGCAAACATTACATAAGGATGACTATCATAATCCAACATATACGGTACCTCCTTATCTTTGTTTTCATTTGTTTTATGATATTTGGGTAGCAGCAAGTTAATGGTAATTCATCACAGTAAATAAGTTTAATGGGGTGGCTGCAAATTACTTGAGCAGAATTCCACAGAAGGTTGTCCAAGAGAACCTTGGCATGACATGCACAGTAAAATTGATGGCCCAGCTGCATATGATGTTCTGGTCAACTTTGAGGAACGATGGTTGAAGTCTGCCAAGCCTCATGGACTCAAAAAATTAAAGAAACCCTTTGATGATGCTTTGCTGAGGATAGAAAGAATTCCGGACATTATGGGAGTTTCTGATTTTACCAATTCTGAGAGTGATCCGGAAGGTTGGCATGTTCAGGTAATTTTGTTTCTTAATCTTGTTTTTAGTCAAGTTTAGTTAGGTGGGTGAGGTTCAAGTAAGTCATAGGTCTAGTTTTGCCGGCCAATGTGATTTTAAGAAGCTGCTTTCATTTTTACATTTTTAGTTTTCTAACAAATGGAGTTTTTATTTATTGTTCTGGGGTTTCACATGCAGATATTCCGCTCAATTGATTCAAATTCTGTTAAAGGCTTTCCAAAGGATCCCAAAGATGCGACAAGCAAGGTAAAGAGAAGGTTGCCATTGATTTGCTTTTCTTCTTCTTTTTCCAGGGTATAAGCTGAATGGTTATTTGTTTGTGACAGAATTTGGTGTGCGGTAAGAATGTCCTTATTGATATGAGCATACATACAGCATACGTGAAGGCCATTCGCTCTGCCCAGCATTTCATTTATATAGAGAATCAGTATTTCCTTGGATCTTCCTTCAATTGGAGCTCCTATAAAGACCTAGGTAAAGCACTTAGATTTTGATGACCGTGATGTTTGTGACTAACGTAACAAGATTGATAATGGATATTGTTTTGTAATTGCAACTTTAGTTGCATAAGTTAAGCAGTTTGAGAAGGTTAATAAATGGACTCGGTAAATTTAGGTTGAAACATATCTGTTTTAATATAGAAAGTGGTAAAATCTTATGCTTGGATGTATGCTGAAGAAATATTGTAAAATGATCAAGAACCTAACTTTCTGGTTGAAATATCAACCAGATTATTAATGTATCAAGACCATGTGCTAAGTCATTTGTCATTGTAGCACAGAAGGAGGCAGAGGACAACATACAAAATAACCAAGTTTTCATTTAAAAAACTAAAAGTAAGAGCATTTGGTTAGTCCTATTTGTTCATGCTTTGTCTGATATTTCTTGTATCAATCAGATTATCAATGTAGCAAAGTTTCTGGTTAAATATATCAGTCAGATTATCGATGTATCTAGTCCGTGTGCTAAGACGTATGCCATTGTAGACAGAAAGATGCAGAGGATGACATACAAAATAACTAAGTTTTCCTTTCGAAAACTAGAAATTAATAAGAGCATTTGGTTAGCACTATTTGTTCATGGCTTCATCTGATATTTCTTGTATTGGATGTGTTATGAAAATTTTTATGCGAATAATAAGGCATTTGTTCATAGTTTTGGTTCAGAACTGTAAACCTTACATTCTCTCTACAGGTGCTGACAACTTGATTCCAATGGAAATTGCACTTAAGATTGCCAGTAAAATTAAAGCAAAAGAGAGGTTTGCTGCTTATATTGTTTTGCCAATGTGGCCAGAGGGTGTTCCAACAGGCGCTGCCACTCAAAGGATTTTATTTTGGCAGGTAGAGTTCGACTTAAAACTTGGTGTTAAAATGTTTAAATGTTTGACCGGATTATTGTTATCTTTTTTGAGAATTCATCGAGATGTCTGCTCTGGTGCAAGTCCTACAGAAGCTTTATTTTTGGAAAGTGTTCAGTTGTATTATCCAAAGAAGCAGATTTCTGATACAATTACACATACAAGAGTGTCTCTAATTCATCTATACTATCTTATCAATTGCACCCCTAAACCCTTCTAATCAAATATGTTCCAAACGGTACACAAATACAAATTCACTCTATCAGTTCTATCAACACTTTTCCACTTAGTCTAACCTTTACTATTTCCTTAATGGAATGCAAAACCTTATTCCTAGTCCTTTGCTGTCCTCTGAAATGTCTTCTGTTACGTTCTTCCCATACCAGATAGACATGAGCACTCCATGCAAGCTTTGGGGTGGTAGTGATTAGGGCCTTACCTTTTAGTTTTGTGCAAGTCCAGTGCAGCTCCTGTTGTGAATTGAATACATCGTGATTTATCCTGCACAACCTCAATATAGTTCCCCAAATACTCTTAGAGAACTGGAATTCAAAGAAGATGTGGTTCCTTGTTTCCATCTCACCGCGGCAGAGATTGCATAGTCCTACAGAAGCTTTTGCTGAACACTGGAGTTCTATCTTGGTCCATTTGGAGCATTAAAAATTGTTTATATTGCTTTGGCATGAAATTTTCTTAGGATCATCTTTTTGTTTTAACTGAAGAATAATGATCTTTAAACTAGATACTGAGAGACCCTTGACCTTGAACTGATACTATTGTCGCAGCAAAAAACTAGGGAAATGATGTACGAGACTATTTACAGGGCTTTGGTGGAGGTGGGACTTGATGGTGTTTACTCGCCGGAGGACTATTTGAATTTCTTCTGTCTTGCCAATCGTGAGAACGATGGATCTCAACCTCCAAGCAATGAAAGTCCTAGGTCTGCAAACACCCCTGAGGTAATCCATACAATGTTCCCAAAAACTATATTTCAGTAGTTCAACATCTTGGGCAATATCATGGATGGTAGTACAAAAAAAACTTCGATTGAATTGAATGAAGAACATAACAGATCAAGATCCCATTTCGCTTGAACATCTCAAGCGTTAACCTAAAGTTCCTACACTGCTAACATATATGTTCCTGGATTTTGCATTCCAGTCACTTGGCCGGAAGAGTAGAAGATTTATGATCTATGTCCATTCAAAAGGTATGATAGTGGATGATGAGTATGTAATAGTGGGGTCTGCAAACATCAATCAACGCTCCATGGAGGGTACCAGAGACACTGAGATTGCAATGGGAGCTTACCAACCTCAATATACCTGGGCAGCAAAACATTCTAGTCCACTCGGACAGGTAACCTCTCGGTTACATCCATATTAATGATACAATTTCCCTTTTTACTAAATGAACCATATGAATGATATGATCCTAGAAACACAAATATACATGTTTCATGTTTCCACAAAGAATCTTCCCCCTCCCCACCCCGAAGAGTGTCCTTAACTCTTTGCTATTTTTTATAGGTCTATGGGTATAGGATGTCACTTTGGGCGGAACATACTGGAGTTGTCGAGGACTGCTTCACTCGACCGGAGAGTCTCGACTGCGTAAGACGGATAGTTCAAATAGGTAAGATGAACTGGAAACAATTTGCATCGGAGGAAGTGACAGAGATGAGAGGGCACTTGGTAAAGTATCCCGAGGAAGTGGGCCCAAAGGGTAAGATCAAGCCCCTTCCTGGATGTGAAACTTTCCCTGATGTTGGTGGAAACATTAGCGGCTCATTTCTTGCCATACAAGAAAATCTTACAATTTAACCTTGATATACTACCACCAAATACGGTGATTCAGATATGGTTTTGCAACTATAAATGAAATGTGTTCATACATTATAGTTTTAAGAGCCCATTTTATTGTGTAGATTCTTCCCTCTTCATTGTTACATTGTCCAAACCAAATTTTGTACTTAAAAACTATATTCATTTTTCAACCAGAATTGATCCACCGGGGCTCCTCCCTTATTATATTTGTCAAAAGAGATAATCACGAATTTTAAATGTGAATCGTGAAATAGACAAAAAAAAAATAAAAACAAGGTTTCGTTAGCTTTAAAAACACCTCTCAATTTGGTTTATACAATTACTTTTGTGGTATCAGGCCTAATAACAAGTGGTCCATGGTCTTTTTGTGATGACAAATATTGGGAAGGGGACCGCAGAGAAACCTAATAGAACTCTGATACCAACCGTACACGTGGACTTAAATGATGAAATCCAGGGTGTCTTTCAGTGTGGACCGGACCCAGTTCACTGCATTTGTAGGCCACCAAAGCAAAGACGGAATCTGCGCATTTTATCGTCTGTAGCTGTCCCCACATCTTGTCACCATAGGACCCACCTCCTTTTAAATTATTGTTAGTATTTTTTATTATTAATTACGGTGATTATAAGATCTATTTTAAATATTTTGAATCATTGATATAAAAATTAAAAAAAATTATAATATGTGATGTTCAGATTTAATAACTTTAAGAATAATAATTATATTGTTATTATGTTTCACTGTTGATGACATGCTGTTCAAGATCAAATCAAAACTGTGATCCTATCGCTTTTATTTTAATTACACGTTTTAATTTCTCTCAATCCTGGTTTATTTTCAGAAACGACACGTTTTTAACTCTCGTATTAAAAAATTAAAAATTAAACCTGAATCGATAAAAAATTTAACGTCAAGAGATAGGCCTAACTTTGCTTTCAGTCCCTCCCTATACTCTTTACCTTTAAAAGTGTCCTCGATTTCAAATTTCATAAATTTAGTTTTTCTAGGAATTAAAGCTTAATTGATCATATTATTGATTTTTCTGTTAAATTTGAACGTGTTATCAATTGAATATTTTAATATAAATATTTTTTGATAATGTAAAATGATTATAAAATAATATCTATTTTAATATCTATGCTAATTAAGTTAAACGATAATAAATATAATATATTTTAAAAAATATCTTATATTTGAATACTATAGATAAGAATAATAAAAGTTTCAGATTCCATTTTATTTCGAAACATGAATCCGAACTTTATACCAATTAAACTAAAACATTTAGTTGCATTTTACAATTTGATTTTAGAAAATAAAAGATAAATACGGAGGAAGGGGAAGAAGAGCATATGATGCCAGTGCCAGAATCATCATCTCCTTCTTCCTCCATTTTTTTTTCTGACGATCATGTTATCTTGTAGACCCCACCGATAAAGGATCCCACGTGTCCAAGATTTTCTTTTCTAAAAAAACCATTAACAGATATGTCCCGACACGTGTCAAAACTCCAGAGTCCAGACGGACCAAACTTTTGGCTCACACGCTCTCTGGATCGGACCACCGAACTAACCCCGTAGGGACCACCACGCGATTACTCCTTGGGAACAATGCAAAAACGGTCCCGTAAGGTCCACTTTTTTTCCTTTTTGCAACTTTCCTATCGGGTCCCGTGCCTCGCACCACATGACTGTTCGATGAGGTGGCCCGTTTGGCCCAGATTTACTCCTAGCAATGCACGGCCCACGGATTGCCCCTGCCTTTTGGTTTCAGTGTTGACCCACAAAACATAATGTGGACCCTACCCGCGTCACCTAATATTACCCCACATTACACGTGCACAGCTCTTAAAAACACCCCTCACGTGAGCACATGCCTCCTCCTCCTCATCGTCCTTTAGCTTCGCCCGTTCATGACGGATGCTCCAAAAACGAAGCCACCAATGGAAAACAAAACCCAAACACAGCAATCAAAATGAAAAAAGAAAGAAAACTTATTGTTTATCAGTCAATGCTTTGAAGATCGACTCATGAACTGGGGCTCCTGTTTATAGAAAATGTCGAAGGGGAATGTCAAAACCAATGCAACAGCAACATAGAGGATCACCTGCAGGTTGTATTTCAAATGTCAGAACCATCAATGTGTCAAATTACTGATCGCACTGGAAACTTGGTAATCCTACAGAATCCAATCTACAAAACTACAAGAGAAGACTATACATAGTCCTATAAACATTTGCATTCATTCAGAATCATAGTCCCATAAACATTTGCATTCATGCAAAAGGTTACTATCTTGCATATATGTAGTTAAATTATAGGGTCAGAAGATAAGATAATGCTGGTAAACAGGGTAGATATTACACTGGTTGAAAACACCCCTCAAGTGAGCACGTGCGCCTCCTGCTCCTCCTCCTTTAGCTTCGCTCGTTCATGACGGATGCACCAACAACGAAACCACCAATGAAAAACAAAACCCAAACACAGCAAACAAAATGAAAAAAGAAAGAAAACTTCTTCTTTATCAATTAATGCTTTGAAGATCGACTCATGAATTGGAGCTCCTGTTTATCGTAAATCTCCAATGAGAAGTCACGAAGCATCTGAGTTGTTGTCGTGGTGGTAGTTGTGGCAGCGGAACTCGAACTCGGTGCCATAACGGAAGCCGTTTTAGCCGTCTTGGAAATCGGAACTGTGCAACTCGTGACCGCTACATTACTTTGAAGTTGACTCGGCGTTGCTGTTGCACCGTGTTGCATGGCGGACACGAACGACGATATGGGCCGAGCCGAAATGTTAATTAATGGTGTAGTGGTGGCCGGAAATGTGAATATATGAGGCTGTGTTGATGGTCCGGCCACGGATGCCATAGATGGTGCCATGAAGAACGCGCCCGGAACGACGGCGTTTGATGGTATCGCCCAAATTGGAACCAAACCCTGCGGCAGAACAGCGTGTTGATGCTGCTGCTGTTGTTGAGAAATAATTACAGGGGCTAAACCAGATGAAACCGAAACGGCGTCGTTGACGTCAACGAACTCGCTATTAGCGGTTTGTTTGTGCTTCTTTCTACTAAGGTCACCGGGTTCGGGGTTAGCGTTCAAGGTCGTCGGGATTTTAAGTGTCCCATTAACCGACATAGCGATGGCGGGAACTGTACCAGTTCCGGTCGCCGCAATTATCGCCGGTTCAGCGTGCTCTAACAACCAGCTGATAGTTTCTCCATCCGACTTGTGGCCTAATTCTCGTGTCAGCTGAAAGATCCGAGCCGCGGAAGTAGCGGGAATTCGGATCCTCCGGCCACGTCCCTCTACTTTCGTGTGGCGATCCTTGGTAGAAGCTCGTTTCGGCGCGACGGGTGCTGTCGTTACTGGCGGCATGGGAACAGCTGACGGCACGTGCAACGCCATGGGCTTCAGGCTTACAGCTGTCTCTATGTCAAGCTCTTCTTTGGGATTCTTCGACGCTGCTGCAGCCGCCTCTCCGCCGCCGTTGATGCTGAGAACAACAGCTCTGCTATCTCCATCCTCTTCAACCTCATGTTTATGAATTGCAGCCATCGATTTCATTTTAAGAAGAAGCACAAAGTAAGTAAAAGGATAAAACAAAAAGGAGAGAAAGAAAATGGGAAAAATGCTTTGAATTTTATAGAGGATGAAAAAACAAAATAGGGTGCGTTATATCTTCCACGGGGTTTGTACCGACTTCAACAATTTCAAACGAAATATAAAACTCGTTTTATGTATGAATTATTATTTATTATAGATATCTATAATTTTAATTTTACAAAATAAGATTATAAATTGTGTTTTATTTTTTGAATATTATAAGATAAAAAAATTTAATTTTATAAAATAAGATTATAAATGGTATCTAATTTTTTTAATTTATCGAATTATTATAAGATAAAATATATTTTAATATACATAAATATCTTATTTGTTTAAATGTAAATCTTTTAAAATAATATTATTATTTTCTATCACTGAATCATTTAATAGATTTTTATTTTTTTAATAACTAAAATTATGTGATGATAAATTGTAAAAATTAAAATTGATTTTAAAATTTAAAGAATTGTCCAATTTTGATTTAGTCAGTTGATTTATTTGTTTAATAATAATTAAATAAAAATAATTTCTTTAACTGGTTCAACTAATTTTTTATTAGAATTTTACCGTACTTTCGACTTAATATCGGTTCATTATATATCCAATTTTATATCATTAATCGAGTTAATAATATTATTAATTCTTAATTCAGCTGATTCGACTAACTTATACTGATCTTAAAAAACTAACTAATATTAACAACTCTACATGACGGGTTTTTATCCAACCTGCATATTAGAAAATATCATCATCAATAATAATAAAATCTATGGATATTGAAATTAGTTTTATATATATACATATATATAACAACTATTGTATAGGGAATTAATTAGTTATAATTTAGCTCAATCTTATAGATTTAAATGGAAAATTAGTTTATTTTTAGATGAAGATGTTACGTTCAACGAGTACGGATAAACAAAATTAACTATGAGTATCATTAAATTAATTTATAAAATGTTAAATTAGAAAGTGTTAAATATATAATTATAAATTAATTACAATTCTAAATATAATTTAATGAAACTATAATATTTATTAAACATTGGTTTTTATAATATTATTTTAATTATAATTAGATCACATATTAATTTTGGAAATGTATAAACCATAATTTATTTTCATAGTTTTAAAGTTATAGTTGTTGTCGTCGTAGTCACCGTCGCTACTGTCGTGCCGTTATCGCCACTACCACCGGAATCATATTGGCGAACAAAAAAAACTAAATCGAAGACGAAAGATGATATCGGTGGTGATGGTGGCGACGACGATGATGGCAGCGGTGGTGATGGTGGCGACGACGATGATGACAGCGGTGGCGGCGGCAACAACAATGACGGTGGCGGAGATAACGGTGGCAACAACAATAGTGGGGGCAGCGGTGGTGACGACGACGGTGACAACGGCTTTAAAAATATAAAAATAAATTATGGTTTAAAAACAACTGCTGTTTTATAAATATTATATTTAATTAAATTACATTTAGATTTTTTAACTAATTTATAATTTTATGTTTAGTACTTTATAGTTTAACGTTTTAAAACTTAATTTAATAATTCTTATCATTAACTATGCTCATCTACGCTTTACGAGCGTTATAGAATTTTCCTTATTTTTATTAAATTTGAATTACATGTTCCTTAATTATTGCAAAATAATTATATTGTTTTAATTCTTTCTTTTATTGTTCTCTTAACTTTATATGATTTATTTTTTTCTCCAATTCTCATTCATTTTAAGTCCATTTATTTATCAATTTTGAATTATATACTTCTCTACCACTAATTCTTGTGTAATTTTATTTCATCTTTTTGAAAACAACTATTTTAATTTAATTCCTTAACTTTTTATTTTATTCAATTTAATCAACTAATTGTAATTTTTTATGAAGTTTATTCTCATTGATTTGTTGAATCCTTTACGCTTCCATCACACTTTTTCCCCAAAATCCTTTCTTAAAAATAAAACATTAAAAATATATCATATAATTTTAGATGGTATTTAATTTATCAAATAATATTAAAAATTTTAACTACACATGTAAAAAAGAATATGAATATATATATATATATATATATATGGATCATATATGATTAGAGAGTGTTGTTTAAACTTAAACAAGTTAATACCATGATATTATAAATAGTTGTAATTGTATTTAAATAAATGTATTTGATTCAAATATACTTCAAGAAATTCAAATAAAGTTTTAATGATAAAATAGTACTTGTAAATTCAACTAAATCAATATTTTTAGCCGATTGAATACTCACCCATAACAGAAATGATCCTCTCAATTTAATTTATTTCGTTTAAAAAGTTAAAATTTAAATATCTAGTTTTACTTAAAAAATCTATCATCTTATCTTACTAAATCAACTAAGAATAGATAATTAGAGCTCAAGGCTAGAATCTAATATCAATCAAATTTTATTATAATAATAAATCCTGTATTATTATACCACAAATTTAGTTCACCAAAACGGACTGTTTTTTAATATATTTACGACTACGGTGATCTTCCGATCGTGGAAGGGTTGGACCCACAAGGTGATGACACGTGGTGAGTCATGTACCCACAGGATTATAAGATTATCCGAGCGTTGAGGGTCAAAGTTGGGATGCCTTGGAATATCCAAATTGCAAATTTTTGGGGTCTTATTTATTTATTTTTTACTTATATATATCAACGGTTAGACCATGCAAATCGAGCCATTCAAAATCTCATGGAAAAACAAAACATTTACAATTGATTGAGTATTTATACAATTATATGCTTGTAATAATTATTTTAAATTGCAATTAGTATTCCAATTGAAACTTTATAATTTTATTTTGTAATTTTTTTTACCATATTTGACAGTTATAATATAAAAAAAGTAAATATATAATTTAAAATACGAGTGTGGTATAATAATAAAAAAAGTACAAATATTTTGATTAAAAAAACAAAAAGAGCTAGATAACATATGTGGGGCCAAATCTTGGAATTCTTAGCAAAGCATTAAGCATACGAAGGAGGGCCGGCTGCGGCCCTTTCCTCCATCCCCACCACCATCATGCATGGGGAAGCCATCTCTAATGGTTAAAACTTGGGAAAATGGAACAAAATATCATTCCGATAATGCAATATTTTATATTATGGGCTTAAATTTGTAAATTTTAAAAAATGATGAATTTATAAAGTTTTTAAAAATAATGAAAAAATATTTAATTTTTTATAAAGGTAATTATTTCATAATATTTTATTTGTAATTTTTTTATCACTATCTGTATCATATCTCATAAGAGTTGTGAATAAAAACATAACACGTGATACTTTTTATCAAATAGGAAATCATGTAAAATTCAAAGGTAAAATCGTGAGTAGAAGTGATTAAGAATAGGGTAATTAAAGTGAAACAAGATATTTAAAGTTGGGAATTTTAGTAAAGACGAACCTTTTTTGAGAGGAGCTTTTTGGAATAAGTGGGAAATTAAAAGGATTGATACCAAAGCATAAATGGTAAGCAAACTGTGTATGTTGAACTGACCAAGATATAAACATTGAGCGACTCTAATGTCTTGCAAGTTGTCGCCTGCTAAAAGGTACTCCCAACCCAAGCTGCGTAGTGTACGGCAACAGATCCAAGGTCCCCCTCCCCCAATCTGTAAATCCGACGGCTCCACCACTTTTATTTACATGCCTTAAGGGGACCCCACCACATACGATTCTCTCTCTGTCTGTGTCTGTCTAGGTAGGCCCTCTGTTGCGGGTGTTTTGTGGGATCCCACCATTTTCACCAGTCTCGTGAAGTTGTGCAAGCACCATGAACCATGGGGGTAGGGGCCCAACTAAACCCATGCTCATCCCAATTTCTGCTCCAATTGTTTTATACTCGAATTATAAATTTAATTTTTATAGTATAATTTGATAATTTAATCTAGACATCATAAAAAATGATTTTAATGTTTGACTAAATATTCATTTGGTATTTTTTTAGCATTTTGATCTTAATATTTATTTTAAGGTATAAAATAGGGTGTTCAGATCTAGTCCGATCAAAAAAAAATAATTGAAAACCGATCCAAAAACTGAAACTGATTTAGTGTGTTTAATTTTTTTATTATAAAAACCGATCGGTACGGTTTGCGTTTGGAAATCCATAAACGATCCAAAACGAACCGATAGTCTCTTACTATGAATGCCTTTTGTGTATTTGGTTGACAAAGAATGACATATACAAAAATGAACTCATCTATGCCCAAAAATGAAAAATCTTGGTTCTATCTACAAACTGCTGTTGAACTATTAATGTGAGCAAACTTCACAAGCTTACATTTGTTAAAATATATTATATTTACTTTTGTTATACATATGTTGTTTTTTATGGAAAAAAATCAATAATTATTTTGAAAATTTAGAATAAAAAAAATTATACAAATCCAAACCGAATTAAGCCGCACTTAATTGGATCGGATCGGATATTTTTTTAGAAACATCCAAACCGATCCAAACCGCAAACATTTATACTTTCGGATAGGATTAATTTTTAGCTAAAAACTGATCAAAACCGACCGCGAACACCCCTAGTAGAAAGGCTCATATTGTTTGACTAAATAATCACTTTGAATCTTATTATTTTTTGGGTGCATTTTTTCCTCTAACATTTATTTTTAGGGCAAAAGATCGTTATTTTGAAGCTTGATCATTTGTTGACTAACGCTTTTTATTTACCGATGGGGTCTTTTTTATCTCAAAATAAACATTAGGGTAAAAATACTCCAAAGTAATAATATGGACCAAAATAACTATTCAATCAAACATAATTTTTTTTTATATTATGCCTTTAATCTAAATCTTTTTGAAGTTTCAAAATTTTGATCCGATCCAAATAACGACACTAAAATATTTTAATTTAAATTGTATAACTAGTATATATATTATGTATAAATTATAGATTTATTTATTGTTTTTTAATTTAAACATTTTAAATCATTATAATATGATCATTATATTACTTGAATAAAAATTGAATTAAAACAAAAACAAAAAAACTGATTAAATTAAAATACATGGACTAAATTTATGAGTCGTGCATAGTATAGGGAGTAAGTAGTGGAATTTAGCCCCAATGTTTTCAGCTTTGCCCTTCTGGAGGTGGTGGTGGGGTCGTAGTGTGAAGGTAGGCCACAATGTGATGGTATGGCCACTGCCACTGCCATTGCCCACTTGTCAGTTGCTGGTCCCCTTTTTGCTTCTCTGTTGAATTGGGGACCCTCTATTGAGTGGGACCCCATTTCCCCAATATGTTCCTTTAAAAAATAAATCAAAAAGTACGTGAAATTTAAAATCCTTCGTGGACTCCATGTTTCCGTGCCCACCGCACATATTTTTCTTTAAAATTCTTTTATCAGTCTGAATATTATATTTAAATTATATTTAATCTTTTTAAAATTTAAGTTAAACTATAATTATTAAATTTGTATGTTAGAAATTTAATTTTGATTTTAATTTTATCTTTTTAAATAAATAATATTTTTAAAATAATCAAATTTAAATCTATAATTTATAATTCGTGCGGATAGAATTTAACTTGTTTTACTTTTGAGCTGCAACGAGGGACGAGGGGGGGAGGGCATTAGCCTGTACATCCACTAATGACAATGGGACTCCATTTTAATAATGTGTAAACTGCATAATCATCACCTGATTATAAAGTAATATTTTGTTAAAATTTTTAATTATTAAAAGTTATAAAATAATTTTCTGACTATAAATTTTTTTACTGAGTCTATTAACTATTAAAAGTTACAAGATTATCACTCGATTATTTATGTTTCAAATTCGTCATTTTTTATTAAAAATTATCGACCGTCTGAGCTGGACGCTAACATGTTGGTTAAGATATAATAAAATCATATTTTAATGATATTTAGTGGCACTGTCGTTTCTTTCAAGTAGTGACTCGACGACATAATGTAAATAGAGAGTTGATCCACCAAATTTTTTAACCGAAAAAACAAGTTTGGAATATATATGAATCGTTGAATAACGATTTTGTAACTTTTAATGGTTAGAAGACTCAATAAAATAATAGACTATAATCGGAATACTCGATAAATAAAAACCCTATAATTGAGAACCATTTCTATACTTTATCCTTTGATGATTTAATATAAGAGGGACTGTTCATCTTTGTGGTGGGGGCAATGGGGCCTTTTCTCTCTTAATAGTTTGGACCATATCATTCAGTTTGCCTTTTAGCGAAAATGCTTCGGTTTAATCAATTGCATGAAAGGACCAAGTCTTAAACTCTACACATAATTTATAATTTCAAGTATAAAATGAGACTTAAGAGAGAGACAAACTCCGACCTACCTCGAATCTATTAACATAAAAGTTTGTGAATGGCAATTGCCAAAGTACCTTTTTAGCTCTTTTGTTGTCAAGTTTAGCTTTATTAATTGATATTTAATGGATCTAAACTTGATTTTGAAGCGGGATGTTAAGCAACTGTCCATGCATTAAGTATGCGTTTTGAAGCAGAATGTTAAGTAACTGTCCATGCATTAAATACAAACTTCTCCAAAGTACAAGGACTAATGAGAGAAAATTGATTGCTCATGATAAACTGTTTATTAAAGAGAGGCCCATGTACAACTATTGAAGCCCAACAATCATGGCCCAAAGAACAGAAGATCGACGCCATGAAAACTAATACTGCGTAAGGAGTAGATAACCCAAATTTATTCTTCTTAATTCTTGCCTTTTAATTTTAATTATATGATATTCATTGTTTGATGCAGTGGAGGCTTAGAACTTCTATATGAATCTGTTAAAGTTCATGATGTCAATATTGATCTTTCAAAAGGAGCAGATAAGGTAACACCTTTTTTTTAAATAAAAAAAAATCAACATTGTTTCAAGCAGCTTAATTTTTGAAGATTTTAATGCATTGGGTTTGGTTTTGTTCTTTCTTAGTTAACCATGAAGGATTTAGTAGCATAGGTTCGTACCAATTTGATCAAGGAGAGACCTGAAATGTTCATGAAAGGGGAGTTTGTGCAAGTGTTCTCCAGGGTCTAGGAATGACGCAAAAAAGATTTAGGGTTGTCATTTTGAAAAGCAATCCATCTAGCTGATGGGTGGTTTTGGTTTGTGCAGGAGACCCGGTGTTCTCGTCCTCTTGTAAACGAATGCGATTGGGAGTTGAGCGGCCAGCTCACCTTGGAAGAGAAGGATGTGGTAGTTTTCATTTCAACTTTGCATGGTGGGTAGCATGATTATATAGTTACTATATCTTTCATAAACAATCATCACAAAGATCGTATTGGTTTTCCCAAAAGTGTTTTCGCCTTTGAACTTCATTGTTGACGACGTTATACGAAAACACAATGAAATTTTTATTGTCTTCTGCATGTTTCTGTAGGTTAATGTATGTTCCAAGGGAGGTATTCAAGTATTACAAACAGCATACAACTTCACCAAACACACTGGTTTTTCAATTGACCTGAAAAAACAATGAAATCAAATGGAAAATTCTCCACCCTACCTGGTACCAATGAAGGAATTCCTAATAAGAAGAAGTTCAACACACGCCAATGATCAATCATGGCAAATACAAACAAAGCTACCGTTTAAACGATGTCGAAGAAAGAGAGCTCGGAGGAGTAATCTTGATGACAAGTCCAGGGAAAACATCATCAGGGTCATGAATATGAGGGTTGTGCTCCACTATAAATGGATCACCACACTTATCACTTATCGAGTGCAGGGTTTCTCCTTCTGCAACGACATAGATTTCATCGCACGCTCGCTCCAACAGCCGACGACCACCGATCACTTTGCCATCATGTTCCTCTTCATTCATCATCGTAGAGTTCGTTTCCTCGAAAGAGTTGAGTAGTAGAAGGGTCACCAACACGAAGATGCAGCACCAAGAGGCTTCATCCTCGGCAAACATACGACTCCAACAGGTATCCGAAGCCATGGAAGAGGATCGAGTAGTGAAGGTGTAAAAAAAGGGTGGTTTTAAGGGAGAGTTGTGTGAAGTTGAGGGCCAGTACTGGCGGTTTATGATGGTGGGGGGAAGAGGAGAGGCCACGATTTTGTATATTACGTGAGCCCTTTGTTTTGTTTTTGCTTTATTGGAGTGAAAGTTGGGGTTCGTTCCTTCTCCATCTCCTTTTGTTTGTTCTAAAACTTTAATGTCATTTACTTGGAACTTTATTCAGATAATTCGTGCGTTTATTATCATAAAGTGACATCTAAAATTGGATCTTAAGTTATAAATTATACTTAAATGATTATTTTGATCGTTGAAATTTTAGAAGCTACGATCATTAAATTTATGAAAATTTTACACTTGTTATAACTTAACTTACAGTAATCATTTTATAATAATTTGATTTGAATGATTATTTAAATATGATTTAGTAGAATTCATTAAGTGGGTTTAGATATAAAGAGAAATATTATTCTCTTAGAGATTTCGAATTCGAATATTCACGTACTTTATCCCATTCTTTTTAAATATTTGGCCAATTCTCGTAACAGAGGAGATTGAATGTCATCCTTAGAATGGTGGTTCTGTAACTTTGGTTGATTTCTTGAATGAGGAATACGGTACTTTCCATGCTCCTTGTAACTTTCCCCAATATGAAGGAAAAACTTCCCCTTGTTAAGCAAGTTTAATTATGGATTTACTTTGGGATGCCCAAAAACCACGTTTTTTGATTAGAAGAATGAATACTGTGATATAATATGAAGACAAGAGCTTACTCACGAGGATCTCCTTTGTCAGCAATTTTATCACTTACCGTGTAAATATATATATTTTTACTTCAGTTTACCTTTAAAATTTAATTTGATATTTAATTTTTTTTGTCCAATTAAATATTTAAATTTAATTTTAAAGTTCAATTTGATATTTAAAGTTTTTTTAATCCAATCAAGGTATACAAATCTGACTTAAAGATTCAATTTCGTACTTAAAGCCATTTTTATCTAATTAAGAACCTAAATTTATTGGATCAAATCGGTACCTTAACTTCATACTCTACATTTTCTTTATCCAAATTACTACTCACGATAAATGATTTATTTGAAGCATAAGATCAACTTCTGATAATTATTTGGACTAAAAAAATGAGATCAATTATATATACTTGAAAAAAAAGTAAAATTCAAATATCAAAATATATATTTACCATACTAGAATTTATTGAGTATAATAATCTCCTTGAATTAAATTTAACGATTTTTGGTCCTTTGTCTTAGTTCAGATTTGTTTTGTTTTCGTTTCCAACATGACTCAAATGTTCCCTTTCCAACACAGCAGCGCATCATCATAGATAAAAACAACAACATCACCACTAGGAAAGTCTTATGACATTAAAAACCTCCAATATCAATACATGTTTCTTCAAACATCATACATCTAACCTAAGCCGCTTTCACAGTTCAAAATTGTTGCTCAACGAAGCAGGAAAATCCAACCTTATATATATATATATATATCTTCAGAGTCAAACAGGGGCAACCAAAATGCAGCAACTGCTTCAGGGCTGAAATATTATAAGGACCCATGGCAGCGCAAATAATGAATTTAATTTGAAGCTACTTAATGCCAGAGAGAGACTCTTGTATAATCATCTACACGTTGTGATTGGTTGAGCCTAGTAATTTTTCCTCCTCTCTTGGGATGTCGGCCATTGGGATCTGAAAGCCAGACTTGGTAATTTTGTTCCATTCGTTTTCTACTCGAAAGAATATCCATTGGAACCTTCTTAGCATCTCTAAGGCGGTGACCAGAAACACAGTCAGGTAGTTGTGGCGGAGATGAGCAGACAGGTTATACGTCCATGTGCAACGCAAAACCAAGTTGCTTCAGATAACCCAAAAGTAAACCTACCAAGTTTGAAAAAAATTGGCAATTATGCATGTAAGCCAACTACTGATGTGCCAATGACGTCTTGCAGAATGAAATTGCATTATCTGCACTAAGATTCTTACCCATCGTCGCCCATATAACAGATTAGAACATAAACTTGGTTTGTTGAACTTGAAGATCCTAGTGAAGACACTGATGTACATGCCAAATTTAAACTTAATTTGGTGCAAGGAATGCCGGTGTGGCATCACAATCAAACGCTATATAAACTGTGTGGAATGGTGATATATAATCATACCTAAGGTCCCAATCACGAGTTATGTCCCAATAAAACGAATAGAGTGAGTTAATAAGACTTGAGAAAAGCCAGAGGCGACGATAAACATATGTCCACCTATCAGGTTAGACATGATATTTAAGGGCAGAAAGAAAAATCACAGGGACTGCTGTTGAGTATTTTAAAGCTGAAAACCATAAGCAAACTTGGTTAGAATAAAAAATATAGCAGTTGAACAGAATTACATAGAAGAAAAATCAGGTGTAAATAGTTACATAGCTCATATGAGATGAACCATGTGAGAACTAGCTATAGAAATCACGGACAAAGTTCAATGATGTCCTGTCCATAGAGTTTTAAGAATTTTCTTCATTTACATTGTATACTTTACCAGTCCAGATATCCATATCCATTCCGACTAGATGTAAATTAATAAGAAAATAGTAAGCATCAAGGACCTAGATGTATTACCATTAAAAAGGGCTGGCTTCTCTTTTGTGTCTTTATACTGACGCAGACATTGCAGTAGCCGCCAAATATAAGGAATAACAAGCACTAGCGGAATTGCAACTGAGTGGCTGCCACAAACCGAGTCTGCTTCAAACCATGCAATTGTTGCAACCTACATGCCAAGAGAAACCTCATCTTAGTTATCTGAGGAGATCAACATTGCATCAACACAAAGAGCTTCGACAATTCAATGTTGATCAAATTCAAATTAAGCATAATCATATTTAGTACTAAATAAGATGGGCCCTCATTGTTTCTTAATATCATCCCTAAAAGGATAAAATGGTTGGCTGATAACTGCAAACATTAGTTTATTTAGAAGATCTCACACAAGCGATCCAAAAACAACTGTATTGTAAAGCATTATAAGCACAACATTATGCCTTAAGTTCAATGGGTTTTAACTGCCTCGGAAACCATCAACTTATTTTTCATAGAATTGCAGGAACACATAATGAAGTAGGTGATACAATTTACAGATAATAATTAAAGACCATGAAAGTGCTAGGTTGTTGAAGGCCTTATCTTCAGCCAATTTGGAAAAATAATTAAAACTAAAAATCCCACAAAGCAACATATTTGAGAGCGCTCTTAGCCTTTTATAAATAACCAAAATTACCTGGCGATGAACCATTTGACAGACTGAACGCTCCAAATCTGAAAATACCTTCGCAAAAATAAAGATTAAGAAATTAGGGAAAAATCCAGCTCCACTTATGAAATCAAATTCTAATATTATAACATTAGCGTATGTCCAGTAATTTTGGTTCTATGAGATACATCTAAACAGCAGGAAACTGAAACTTTCTCCAAAAGAGTGAAAGTACGAGAAAGTATTTTCATAGGATTCTACCTACAATTGGTACAATCTAAATGTTAAGAGAAAGGAAATAAGCAACTTGCTTAAGGAGATGAAATGATGTTACAGGTTCATACCTTGGCCATGGAGGTTAAAATGTCTGCCAAGAAGAAGTCAGGAAACGAAATTGGCTGTTATACAAGAATTAAACAAGTACAAAATGCAAATGCATGTATGTCAGCCACAGCAAAACTCTGAGTAATTGCTACTAAAAAGGAAAAATCCAAAGAGTAAAGGGAAAATACTCCGATATAAGGAAATGCTAATCTACAAATGCAGCTTGCTAGTTCAAGCACAAAGAAAGAGAAAGGTACACTAGAAACTAGCCTGAAGTGGGAAAGCTATCCGCCAGAGTGTTCTTAGCAAGAAGTAATGAGATGAAAAATAGAAAATGTCGAAGGGGAATATCAAAACCAAGGCAACAGCAACGTAGAGGATCACCTGCAGGTTGTATTTCAAATGTCAGAACCATCAATGTGTCAAATTACTGATGGCACTGGAAACTTGGTAATCCTATAGAATCCAATATACAAAACTACAAGAGAAGACTACACATAGTCCCATAAACATTTGCATTCATACACATACATACAGAATCATTAAACTGACAAGCGATAATTAAGTAGTAAAGCCATAATTGATAACTCTAATTGTTGAAAACATGCAAAAGGTTACTATCTTGGGACCAAAATCTCAATAAAGCACATGAAGTGCAAAAATCCAAATAACATGGGAAGTATTTAAAACAAGTACCTTCCATATTTCTCTGTGAGTAAGATGGTTTTGATCAAGATCAAATATTTTTGCATAACTAATAGTACTCTGGGAGAAGACCCATAAGCACACTCCCCACAGCCAAACCATCATTGTCTACAATTGCGAGAACAAGAAGTAAGATTCGACAAACATCTAATATCAAATATCAATCCGTAATCATACTAAAAAATATGTTAACTAACCACAAGAAGGAGAGGGTTATAATATAAGAATGCCTCATACAAGAACAAGTCTCTCAAGCCTGCACTCATTCTCATGAGTGAATCCCATCCAATCTGTTTCATAAAAAGAAAAGAACCATTTTCAAGACCAAATCTCACAAGCATCCACTGCATCCTAGCTAACTGTAATAATACCGACCTTGCAACTAGTCAATGCCCAGATCAAAAACCATATAACCTTAAATCTCCACAGAAAGGTAGGAGAAGGCATTATGGCTGTGGCGTGCATTGGTGAACTGGAACCCTTCATTTCACCTACCACAAAAGGAAACACATAACCTTCTATTGCACTATTTCCAGGTTCACCAGCCCCTAAACAACAAATAAAAAAACAAAAGGTAAAAAAACAACAACAAAAAAAACATCCGTAGTATGTTCAATAAGTTAAAATCGAAGGTCAATCAATTACCGAAACAGATAAAAGATTCACCTAGGTCAGAAGAAACAGATTTGGCGCCAGGTTTCCGAAGATGAGGACTGTGAGAAGAACCGAT